TTTTTTGTTGTCGACAGGGTGCCTCAGAAGGCCTCAGATCACCCTCCTACCTGCCTCGCTCTTGCCAGGCCAGTCCCAGAGTCAATAAAGTACAAACTGTTCTTGTAAAAACTGGGCACAACACGGAAAATAACTTTTGGAGCAGCCAGGAAATGGGCATCTGAAGGCCTGGCTTTTCCTTAGGCCATGAGAACCCAGTGTACCTTTTGCCCAAAAGAGTTTGCTGGCAAACGTCCCGTGCAAGAGGCCAGAACATGGGGATACATGTAGAGGATGAAGTGGACTGAGCAGGCAGCACTAGCTGATGGCCAATGAGGTCAAGCAGAGGGGAGAGCAGTCTCCACCAATGGTGGTGTAGAAGCGTTTGTGCCGGGGAACCTGAGGCATGGAGAAACTGAATTCTGTGCTCAGAGTCTCCTAGGGTCCTAGACAATGAAATAGGGCAATAGGATGGTCTGCACACCCCACACATTCTAACATGAACTTTTATAACACTACATGTTTTAATCTAAATGGCAGCTTTGCCAAGACATTCCAGGAGGTGTGATTAACTATGTTATTGCCCTTTCCCTCCACCATTAGCTCTCTTGTAGGATGAACTTCAGGGTACAATACAAGAGTCAAGAATAAAGTTTAGCTCACTATGACATCAGTTTGAGTGAGTTCTATGTAGAACGAAGTATTTTTACTCAGTTAGCATCCATCTACTTCATATTCTCTTGGAATATGAATAATACACCCTGACATTTCTGGCCAGAGACAGCTCAGAGATTGCAAAGCCCCTACAGCAGGAGAAATTGCAAGGGGGGACTGGCACCCCCTTCCCTTCCTGAGTCTCATCTTCTACTTCCTATGGCACAAAGCTACAAAATGCTTTGTTCTGGGACCTCGTACACTTATGGAAAAAATATGCATCTCCCTCACAAACTTTTAAATTAGCATATATAATTTTTACTACAAGTTGAAATAATTAAATAGAATATAGCTTCTGGAACACTGACTTAGTTAAATGCATTAAAAACTACCTTTATCTATTTAAAAAGCACTATAAACAAGCTATTTTTTTAAAAAAATACTAATAACTTTATTTGTTTATTTTCATGTGGTCCTGAGGATCAAACCCAGTGCCTCACACGTGCGAGGCAAGTGCTCTACCACTGAGCCACAACCCCAGCCCACAAGCTCTTTTTTAACAATCAGAATATTTCCATCATCTTTTGTTCTTCTCAAACTCATATTCTCCATTACTACAGAATTTTATCTTAGTATGGTATACTTTTAAGCTTGCTAATCTTTTATGGGTCACTATATTACAATTGTAGGCAGCAAAATATGTACTCAAGTAAAGCATTACATATTTTATTTCTCTGAATGGCATATTTATTATGATTATTATTAATACAAAATTTTAAAAGTTAAAATTTTCTATCACCATAAGATTTTACATGTTGATAAATATTTTATATTGATGCATTAAAATTAATGCCAGTACAAAACTGGGTGAAATAAAATATTACAAAAAAATTTTTAAATAATCATTAAACAGAATGAAGGAATCTAGCTTTTAAAAAAATATTAGTTGATGTATGATGGATAAATATTGCTTACTTCTAGAATAAGACAACAGTTTATGAAAATTATCAGGAAAAAAAAGAAGCAGAGAAACTACTGGGCCAGTAACTCTGAAAAAAAAAAAAGTACAAACTAACAGGAGGCTGTACCCAATTTTTAAAATGAATATAGATTTACAATAAATAACGATCTTTTGGTAAAAGTTCAAAGAAATTTTTCCAAGAGTTTGATTAAATGTTTAAGAAAATACTAACAGACACCTTGCTTTAATTTGAGAATATTATCTAGTCTTAGCCTCTTCCTATTTGAAATCAATACGAAATACGTAGTTGAGAACAGGCATCGATACTCTAGGTACCCTTTATTTGACTGGAGGATTCACCTCTGGGAGACTTTCCTTTTGAAAGTGCTGCCAGGGTCATGGCAAAAGGGGAGGTGGCAAACAAAGAGTTGCATGACACCTGTGTTAGTCAGCTTTTCATCACTGTGGCCAAAATGCCTGATAAGAGCAACTTGGAGGAGGGAAAGTTTATTTTGGCTCACCGTTTCAGAGGTCTTGGTCCATGGTCTGCTGGCACCTAGGCAGAAACGTCGTGGTAGAAAGGCATGGCAGCTCATGGCAGCCAGGAGCAAGATGTCATCCCCAGTGACCTGCGTCCTATTTGCCTGAAGTTACCAACTAGTAGTCCATTTAACTTATGAATCCATTATATTGGTTAATCCACTGGTGAGGTTCCAACTCTCATCATTGCCTAAAGCCCCACCTGTGAACCTTGATGCATGGGGGATCATGCTTGCAAAACATGAGATTTTCAGGGGTTATTTTTCGATCCCATCTCCCCGCACAGATTCTTTCCAAGCATTTTTAGGCAGAGGGGCCTCCTCTATCATCAGAGAAGAGGAACACCCAAGCACGTGGATCTCCTTTGATTAGCTTGACTCAGAAATCCTGGGGTTCCTCCTTCTTCAAGCCTCAGCCTGACAACTCATGAAGTGTCAAGAACTGTGGAAATGGAGCCAGCTGCTGCTCCATTTGAATGAGTAATCTGTTGAATAATTCTGTAGCTATAAAAGAATGTAGTCATTTATAATTTTATCAAGTTGTGTTTTATAACCTGCTTAATAAGGCTATTAGCTATATTACAGCATGTTATGCTTAACAAAATCTTTAATGACTTCTGTGGATTAAGCAGACAGGTATTGAGCGTGATGTCAGTATTATTATTCTCATTTTACACACAGAAAATTCACAGCCTATGGACTGGAAAGGAGATCCTGGGGCAAAGTCAAGGGCTGCTTGTAGCCACTTTTAGATTACCTGTTTGTGATGGATCAACCCAGAGCATGGTTGTTTTTTGGTTTTTGTTTTTTTCCTGCTAATGGAGTTTCTACCACTTTAAAACACTTAAAGGGATAATTAAAGGGTTCTATACTAAGTTTGTGTTTGTGTTTCTTACCTGCAAATCTAAAACCTTGTTAAAAACAGAATCCTAGTCTATCTGATTCATCTTTAATCCACCAAAGTATTGACATTGTACTTTATAGGCAGGAGGGACTTGACATATATTACACATTTGTCAATAAATGAGTAAATAATCTTGATTATTGGGTATCATTCCCCAGTTTTCTAGATGCTTAACATGTTCTGAATTATACAATGTAAACCACATATAACAATTTTCAGAAATACATGATTTAATAACTGTGGGTTATTTATAAAGCAAATCTGTGGAAATCAAAACAAAACCATATCATATTACCAGATCTCAAGTGCTCTTCTCCTAGTGCCATACTGTTAGTTTAGCAGCTCAAAGAACACAATCTGATGGTGTAAACAAATACTTGGTGCTTTCTCAGGCAAATTATATTCACTGAATTTTTAAAACATGGATTCCCAACCACAGGATATCTTGGAGTATTGGAGATTACTAAATTAAGAGAATATGGGAAGGTAGATTGGTAGGGAATGTTGACCACTGGCAAATGTCAGGCACTATGCCTGTTTTTAATAAATTTGAACTCTGCTGGGGTCAATTAAAAGTGCAGCAAGATAACTAACAAGACCCATCTTGTTGTGCAGTTTAGATGAGCACTTTGGTCTGTGAGAAAGGATTACAGAAGGCATTGAGATCTGAACTGGGCCTTGAAAAACATTAGAATTTGGGAAGGAATGGGAAATCCTATTAGAAAAGGTTGATGCTAAGCCCCCAGAAAGGTGTTCGGGATCGGTGAAGGTTTTCCTACTATAGCACACCTGTCCCTTGTCCCTGCATGAGTCCTGGCTCTCCTCTCACATCTGCTCACATCTCACAACTGCACCATCTTTTCCTTCTCTTTCTGGTACTAATAGAAGATGGAGATGTGCTCTCTGTGGCAGAGGCTGCTGGCCATAGCTGTTCTGTTCTTTCTTGAAAGTGTTGGCCACTGGGATATAAACAGAAGTGGTGAGAACCGTCTGTAAAATGTCTTTGAAGGAAACAGACTTATCCCACCCCCATGCACTTCTCCTGCCTGCTGACCGGAATGTGGATCTGGGATCAGAGCTGTTGGATAATAGAGCTCTGCGATTTACAAAGCCAAGGAGTCATCGGCAGCTGGGAATGCCTGGGCAGAGCTAGAACATCCCCAGACTTCTTTTATGTGAGAAAGATAAAGTCACTGTTAATTATTTTATTGTTTAGATTTTTTTTTCCTCTTCTAAATCTGCCACTAATGCTTGTTTTAAACTCTAGGCCTAGAGTTGACTTCATGCAAGAAATATCAGTTTGGGTAAATTAACAAAATGAAAAGTGATTATGCCATTTAGAAATGGAATAAATGCAAATAAAATCCACGACGTGCTATTTTGTCTGTCAAATTCTAAAAAAGAAAGAAAAAGTGATAAAATGCAATGGTGAATAAGGCTTCAGGAAAACAGGTAGGCTGATGGCAGTGTTATAAATTGACACACATCCTGTAGAAAAACCAATTAACTCACTTGCCTCAAATATATTTCTATATTGATATCAATAATCTAATTCACATAAGACTGTTAAATATATTATAATTAATGACCTCAAGGTAAAAAAATTTATATAAAGATTATGATAATAGAGTTAAATAGCAGAAAATCAAAGCTGTCTATATGTAGTACTACAGAAGAATGGTAAATGACGACATATTAAATTGATGGAGAATTGTGTAGACATTTAAAAATATATATGACAAATACTGTGAAATAACTTGCAAAGATACTTATAAAATAATGTTGATCTAAAAAAAATGTTAAAGAAACTGAATAGAGATTGGAGTAGTAGCTGTCAAACTTCAGCTGTTTGCTCAACCTCATCTTTAATCCTATTTGACCCAGTCACCTAGCACCCAGCAAGAACTAAGAATTCCATATCTGTTCTTAGTCCCTTGGTAACAATCTTAAGGTGTTCCACAGCCAGACATACCTAAGCTGACAGAGGCCAGTTACCAAAAAAAAAAGTATACATGTGGGAGCATGTGTTGAGCTTAAGTAAAAATAATAGAAGATCCACATTTTCAAGAGAGTCTTATTGAAAACAAGAACAAGAACAAATACCTATCAGCTTGGAGATAAAAGGTCTGATATTTTACAAATGCAAAATAGCCTTTGGGTACCCAATTTTTTTGAGTGAGAAGCAGGCTCAGAAAGCTAACATGAACTATTTCTTACTGAAAAGGAAGGCTGTCTCAGGCAACCTCAGATTGCAAAATCAAGAGAAAGTGGGTTGGGGAGCTATCCAGGGAGCAGAAGAATTATATCCTGCTCTCATAGTAGGGTAGCTGGCAACGTGCTCAGCAGAATTCCAGAACTCTTATGAAATGTTGATTGCCGACTGTGTCTTCCTTTAATTCCCCTTTTAAATGGAAATATTTACCACTATTCTCCTGTTCCTAACACACCACTGTTTGTTCATTGTGTGCAGAGCATATAACTTGTCTATTTAGTTCACATGTCTGAATCTAGAGAAGTCACAACCAAGAGCATGGAGGCTCATCCTCATTTGGACTTGATAAAAATGACATGTCATGGACATTGAGCCTAATGCTATAATGGAGTGCAACTAGTGGTAGTCCTGGAGGGAAGGAGTTTATTTTCCATGTGAAAGGGCCACAAATAATTGGAATTAAAGGGAAGGCTTTGGACTATTTTTGTAGCAATGGTCACTAATGATTGGTGCCTCCATGTTGACACTTCCCACACTGGCCCTGGGCTTGGCCATGTCATTGACTTTGGCCAATGGAGCATCAGCAGATGTGATGCAAGCAGAAGCCAAAAAAACCCTTGCTGATTGGGCTTGCCCTTTCTTCTGCCACAAAAGATGAGGACGTTGGACCATATGGAGAAAGGCCCCAATCTAGCCCAGCTCTACCGGCTGAATTCTCAAAGAATGCAAGTAAATCACATTACAGCCCAACCAGCCCAGATTAGAAAAAACACACAAATTATCCTGTAGACTCATTTTGATGTATTTGTTAGTATCTTTAGGTGCTAACTAATATAGGGAGACTCAAAGTGCAGTATATATTAAGTAGATAAACGTTAAGGGAGGTAACATTGTGATGGAAAAACCTCTGGGAAGAGTAGACCCAGGTGTGTGGGCAGTTTCCCAAGAAAAATTAAAGGAGTTTACAGAGGGAGACCATACTATGGTCAATGGGGAGCCAGAAAGGAGAAAGTCCAATAGGAAAGTTGAAGATAGAAATCGAACCATAAACAGTAAATGTGGAAGTTTGTGGGATTGATAGGTCAAGTGGTGAGATTGTGAGAAACAGAAAGTACAGTGGTCCATTTTTGGAATATGGTATTTAGTCTTAAATATAAAATTGGGATTTAAGAAAGGCAGCTGGAGGGGAAATAGAGCAAAATGGAAAGTAACAAGCAGTTAACTCACAGCACCAAAGTCCATGCACCTGAACAATCCCTTGACAATCAGGAGGTGGGGTAAATGGTCCACCTAACCTAAAGAGATAGAAGAGGGATAGTTGAGGATAGGAAAGGTAGCAGAATACAACAGTCACTAATATGGCATTATGTAAAAATGTGGATGTGTAACCAATGTGATTCTGCAATCTGTATTTGGGGTAAAAATGGGAGTTCATAACCCACTTGAATCTAATGTATGAAATATGATATGTCAAGAGCTTTGTAATGTTTTGAACAACCAATAAAAAAAGAAAGAAAACAGTAACTTAGGTAAAGAAGTAAGAGCTGCATCATTTATCTTTTGATGTCCAAATACATTAAACTAAAGAAGACTTTCCTGCCAAGAGAACAAAGGGAGGTGGGAACCACTAAAGGTGTATTTCTTTAATTAACACAATAGGAGACAGTAAAACCTAGGCCATCAGGAAAGATGGTGTACCCCACAGTACAAAGAGGAACTTGGGAAGGGACTCGCATACTAGGGGATAAAAATGCAGATTATAACCATTGTGAGTGTGACTGGCCACCAGGCACCAGATCTTACAAGTTTGTCATTAAAGTCTCACTTTGACTTGATTTACATCTCTGAGCCCATTCTTTTGGTTTGGGTAGGTGAGTGTGTTTCTCGTAGGATGAATGAATGGGTTAAGAGAAGCAATTCAGAAAAAAAGAGAAAGCCATGGGTCTTTTTATTTTTATTTTTAGTTAAGTGGTTAACAGGCAATCACTTGGTGTGTAGTAGAAATATTAAATCAGAATAGATGAGGGTGTTATTCTGGAGTCTATGTTGTTCACAAGTTCCTCTGCTAATATTAATGTCTACTTTTCTTTGCAGTGACCAACTCTATACCACATTAAGGGGTGTTGAATGGATAAATTCTGTCAAATCATCAAAGTTCCTGTTATACTCTTTTCGCAAAGCAATGTGTGCTCAATCGTCTTCAATATAACCAAGGAAGATCTGTGATTCTAAACCTAGATGCATGTTAGTCATCTGGGAAATCTTAAAAGAAAAGCAATTCAAAGAAACTAGATCCAAGTCTCTGGGAGTAGAGTCTAGGCATTTTGAAAGCTCTCCAGGTTATTGAATTATGGAGTGAGGTAAGATTCTGGAAGAGATGACACAACCCCTACACCAAGAACCCATCAGGTTTCTGAGAAATAAGAAACAAATGCATAAACTCCGTGCATGTCCTCATTTCCATATATTTAGTGATTGATCTAAACTGCTATTAACCTCAAACATGGTATTAGGACTCGGTGACTAATGGCTATTTCTGAGTCAAAAATGAAATATCACTTATTTTCATGATGTAATAAAAGTCAAGAGAACATTAACTCAGACCCCATGAATCAGCGAGAATGATCATTTGAACAGAGCCTGAAGTCATTTATCTGTGTAAATATATTTTACTTTGGTGGTCACACAAATTTCAAGATTTTTGGTAGAAAAGTTTACACTATAAGAAAAAAAGGGAGGGAGGGAGGAAGGAAGTGAGGGAAAGAGGAAGGAAGGAAGGGGAAAAAAGGGAGAGAGAGAAGGTGGAAGGGGAGAGAGGAAGGAAGGAAGTTAGTTCTGATAGTTAAATAAGTAATGCGAGCCTGATGTTGGAGACAAGGAATAGTGGGGAGTTGTGACAAGTTAGACTGGGGTGGGGGAGATCTTTGTGCCAGGCAAACATTTTAAAACAACTAAAGGCTAATTTAACCCACAGGTTGTCAGTTTATGAACCTCTAAATCATACTAGATACCATTATAATACAGAATAAACATGTGCAAAGACTTATAATAGGTAAAGGGCCAGGAAGGGTTTTAAAGAATGGATGTCCATGGGAGCATTTTGAAGGCTAAAGTTTTTGAACATCTATTAATTTAATTTTTAAGAAACTTTATTTTGCAATGATTTCACATACAAACTTAATACAGAAGTAGCTGAAGATTTCCTCTGTGCTCTTGAGTAAGATTATCCAGATGTTAACATCAAATAGGACTCCATATAATGAAGAACATTGGGATACAATACTATTATCTAATCTATTGGCTTTGTTCAATAAATTCAATTCAATTCAATTCAACTGTCTTACTATATTCTTTTTTTTGCTTTAGGACCTAATCCAGGGTCACAATTTGCATTTGGTTGTTATGTCTCTGTAGTTTCCTTTAGTCTGTAATGTTATTTGTTTGTCATTCATGACCTTGGCATTTTCAAAGAGTTTTGGTCAGTTATTTTGTAGAAGAGCCTTCAATTTGGGTTTGTCTGATGTTTGCTCATGATTTAAATTCAGGTTATACATTTTCGGAACAAATACCACAGAGTGATGCTGTATTCTTCATAGAGCATCATAACCAAAGACATAAGATGAAGATGTGGACCACTATAGTTACAGAAACTTTGATCACTAGATTAGGTTGGTGCCTTCCGTGTTTCTCTATAGTAATGTTATTGGTTTTCCTTCTTAATTAATATGTAACTTGTGGGTAAATATTGAAGAGTATGTGTTTCTCTTCATATTTTTGTCCACTAATTTTTGAATTTACTGATGAACCTTGCAAGAAATAGTGTTTTAAAAATATATTTATTAGTGGGAATTCTACTGTATTTTCATCTCTTCTGTTTATTTTATTTATTTGGTTATTTATTTATTTTGCTTATTTCATAGATTCTTATTTTACTCAGTGGATTATAATTCATTGCTAGCATTATTTGTTTTGTTGCTCAAATTGTCCTAGTTGGGACTCTTTGGAGTCCTTGAAGTAAGTTCTTGTGCCCCTTTGACATATCCACATCAATTTTTTTTTTTTGGTTTTGAATACTTTTTTTTTCTGCCATTATGAGACATGATGCCCATCTGTATTTTCCCTATCTCAGACCTAGAACCAGTCATTTCTCCAACTTTTATTGGAAATTGGTGTTCAGAACCAAGATCTGGGAAATTCAGGTGTTCATTGGTAATGGATGCCATTGCTGCTATACTCTCTGCAGACAGACTTGAGTAACACATGAGCAGACACACATCTACATCTGTTTCCACACCTGTCTATAAATTAAAACCATGAGTTCATGTTTAGACTTCTAACTATAATCCAGTATCACAGAGTTCTTTTGCTGATTTTTTGAAACTTGGCTTTCAGTTACCATAACATATTAACTTATTTACTCAGTCTTACAAACACAATAAAGTGGTTTTAGACAGTCTATTCTTATGATTTCTCATCAATTATTTACATTATCTATTCATAGGTGTATTTTCAAAAATGTTCATACTTGCACAAAGTATACTCGCTCTAGCCTCCAAAATAGACAAGCCAAGTATTGTCTACTTACTGTGTACTTATTAAGTCTGGATGGAGCTCTTCATGGCTCAGCGAACCATGACTAATCCAAATTTATCCATCACCAACACATTCAACCTACAGGAGAAGAGAAAGAACTGGGTTAGCTGCAGTAAAAAGAATTCCAATTGTGAACACACATGGGAAAAGACACACATGCACATGCATGTGCACACAGAAGTTTGTTGGACATTAGTACATATAAGGCACAGTTCCTTGGGATGGGTTCATGACTTGGGAAAGAGAACATGACTTAAACAGTCGCATTAGGGCGAATCCTAAGACTCCAACTTGAAACTGCTGATATTGAGGTATTCTTTCTTTCTCTCAGAGTCATGATCTGATAACGCTCTCATAGTGGAGGGGTGTCTTAATACATCAATCTTGCTCCTGTAGGTGTTCTTCTCTGAGAGACTCTTCTCCATTCATTGACTTCTGTAGCCATATCTAGAGAAGTTTCCCTTTCCATGGGCCACATAAGGGCAGCATCCCTTTTCTTCTGAGTGTGACTTTAAAGAGCCTGAAATTGTTTAGGGCTTGAGCAGGCATAGACTATAGTTGACCAAGATTGATCTTTCACAAACTTTTTTATATGAATATTTGAATAATCACTTCTATGGGCTAGGAACCATAGACAAACAACCTGTATCCAGTTCTCCTATTTCAGTCTAAAACTTTGTATTGCCTAACAACAGGCATCTGTTATATTACCATTCCCTGAAGGCCTTAATGTAATGGTAACTACTTTTGTCTTAGTCTCTTTTTTGGAAATTTCCTTACAACAACTTGAAATATTATGATTTTTCTCCTTAGTATCATGCTCCAATCACATTGCACTAGTTTGTTTTTCAGGTAGAAATTGTTTAGAAGAAAGTATGTGGGAGTAAACTGAGGGGTTAAGCTTGTCTTTTATCCCAATCTTACCTCTCATATTTACTTGTACAAATTTTACCTTGGAATAAAGTATTTGGTCTTTGGAGACTTCTAGAGTCTAGTCATTTTGGATTGCAGTCCATACCCAGAGAGGTCTTCCTATGCAAAGTTCTACTTTCTTTCTTTTCTGCTTCTGGATGGGCCACTTCACCTTAACTTTGTTTATGGTAGGACCTAACTACTTGTAATCTCAAATCCTGGATTTTTCCTACCATTTTCCTGGCTGTTTCTTGTGGGCATATGGCCTGAGCCACAACAAGTCATTTCTCTTCACCTAGTTACCTCTGTTCAGACAAGTCCACACTTTAAGGTTTGTAGCCTATTGTACTACAAACAATAGACTGTTTGTAGGGGATAGGAAGGACAGTGGAATGAGATAGATATTATTACCCTATATACATATATGATTACACTACTGGTGTAATTCTGTACCATGTACAGCCAGAGGAAGGAGAAGTTGTGCTCCATTGTGTAAAAATGCATCATACTGTCATGTATAACTAATTAGAACAATTTAAAAAATTAAAAAATATAAATAATGATATTTATATTTCAGTTGCAAGAAACAAGGTTTTAAAATTTTATTTATTATATATTTTATATAATAATTTTATACAATAATATAATCTTATATAATAATAATTTTTATAAAATAATCTATATCTGAAATTATCTTACTCTATGCCTCTCTTTGAAGAATCTGAAATTCCGTGAAAACAGGAACATTATCTATGCTATTCATTTCACTTGTGGTTCAATGCCTGATATTCAATAAATATTTGCTTAATGAATGAGTAAATGAATTCACAATGTATATCCTGAATCTCTGAAACTAAACCATCAAGGCATGAATATTTCATTTGAGATGTTTGGACTTAAACCTTCGCAGCTGGCAGGTGGATAGCTAAAACCTGGTCTCAGTCTTACTGACTCCACATCTCATGCATTTCCAACTATTCCAAGCTGCCGTAGTGGGTTAGAGCAAGCCCTCAGAATTTTAGCACAGCTGTGTTCAGAATACATGTAATAAATACATGAAACATTCTGACAGCTAGTATCCAAATAGTAATTTAGATGATTAACAAGAGTCTAAAACTGGCATGAAATGATACTTGCTTTTCTAATCTGGAGCTATCAACATGCTCTGAGTTAAAATCACATCCTGCCTAATAGTAGGCAAAAGAATGAGGGAATAACATTAACTGATTGTTTACCAGGGGCTAGATATTTCATTCATTCACTTATATGCTTATTTACATCTTTTCATTTGTATCTATTCATTAAATACTCATTGAGTACTTTAGCTTGACAGGCATCATGCTAGAGGCTAGGTATGCAGCATTTAGCACAAGATAGGGAGACACAGTATTGCATCAGTTAAGATAAAGAACTATGGATTCAGAAATTCCTGGGTTCAAATCCTGGGTTTGCTATTGCCTATGAGATCATCTTATTTTCTTCATTTCATGGAATTGTCCTTTATCTCACATTCTGTTATGAGGCCTACCTGGGAAAATCCATCATTGTAATTGCCATATCTAGTACAGTGCCTGACATACAATAGTTCCTTGATTTGATGTCACTTGTATTACCAGCGGTCTTTATCCTTAAGTTGCTTACAATAAAGCAGAGAAAGCAAATTTAAGTATTAACATGTAATTTTTCCAAAAGTGCTCTGAGATAAGTGTTATATCTTCCATTTTACAAGTAAGGAAACTGAGAATTTAACAGTTAATTTAAGGCCTCAATTAATAATCAAATGAGCCAGAATTTAAAATCTCAGGATGATGCTCTTGCCAAATGTCTGGATGAGAAATTGAAAGAAAGGGGTTCTAGTCATGATTTTAGACTCATGTAAGAGCTCTAGAGAGCTTTTTGAGAACACCAAATATCAGGATTCTGTCCTAACTTACTTAAATCAGAACTATATGGGTCTTGGGTATTTTCAAAATCTCCCAAAACTGTCTAATGCCATGGGGATCGAAAGCTGCTGCTCAAGACTCTCCCTGCCTCGGCAGTCCTATCCTTCCACGGATGGCAACAACTGTCCAATGAGACCACTGCTGGTAGAAGCAGGCACATCCCAAGACTTTCCTCTCCTGGTGCCCTGCGGTCACCACTGTGTACTTGAGATGGATAGCCAGTGTAGTTTCCCTTTGTTAAAAGCCGCTTGTGTGGGGTGACAAGACGCATCAGAGTATCCCCATGGCATGCCCAGAGCTACATGTGTGCTCATGGAGGTCAGTGGTGGGAATCCAGTCTCCTCATCAACGTGGGGTTAATGAATCAACAGCATCCTTCACACTTGAAGGAAGGAGCAGCTTGGGAAAGGTCCCAAACAAATGCAGCTGTTCTTTGTTTCTAGAGAGGATGCCAATAACATTTTGTTCCTTGGGGTTCCCAAGAATGAAAGTGCGTGCATCACCAGAAAAACAAACAAACCCATAGGAATAATTATCATATTAACCAATATGTCATATTGACACTTATTTAAGCTCATCAAGAAATAGCGTATCATCTGGTCTGTACTCTCAGATTTTATGTCGAGATATTTAACAAAAGGGAGAAGAATAGTTCATCAGTCTGGGGATGCCTTCTGGGACTTTTCCATCACTTAGAGGTCAAAGCTTCTGCAGCTCCTTAAATCATTTCAGGAACTCATCCCAGAGACCAGTTAACATAAATCCATACAGCCTACTTTCTGGTGGTAATTCTGTGCGATACATCATCATCATTATCTCCATTCTATGGAGTTGGAAACTGAGGCTTAGGATGGTTAATTCATTTGCTCCAGGCCTAGAACATGGTCTATCCTCTACCATATGTCTCTGGAATCCAAATTCTTGATTCATTTGGTTTAGGAGGAAATTATGCTCCTCTGGCACAGCACAGGCTGGAAACTAACCGACCAAGTGGAAGGAGAGACATTGCAATAAAGTCACTGGTCTTGGATTCCGATGATTTGTTGCCAGTATGTTGTGACCTCAACTGCTTCACCAGCCTCTCTGGGATACAAGAACGTGCCCAAGGCCCACTGGTAGGATGGAGATTCTGGCTAGACCACCTCTTTTTGCTTGCCTCCTTCCCTCAGCCTCAAGCAGTAGCCTTCATGTCCCCAGGCTTGGGTACAAGCCCAAGGCCCCAACAACATCCAGGTAGAGACTGAATGAGGAAAGTGTCAGCAGTGAGAGACAATTGAGAAAGAGCCACCTAACATAGGGATGGATTTGAGAATTCTCTAAACTAGTCAATGGTCATGTAATGCAAGCCACATGCATAATTTTAAACATTTGATAATTTTAATAATATATTTTAATCAGTCTAACATATCCACAATATAAAAAATAGTTATAAGATAGTTCATATTTGAAGGGGTACTAAGTCTTCAAAATCTGGTGTGCGCTTTATACCAAACAGCATTATTTCAATGTGACTTGCCACATTTCAAGTGTTCAGTAGTCATATATGCTTCATTTCTTATTGGACAGCACAAATCTAGACTATCTGGATACAATTATTGGAAGGATGTACTTAATACATGTAAATAATATGTAATATAGAAAATTTTCTGATGCTTTCTCATTCTTTGGGGTTTAATTTGCAGCAGGCTGGTTTCCAATCGGATGTGAAGAACAGAGCTTCCCTTGGCAGGGCAGTTGAGATTTTGCTGGGCACTATTACTGCCAGATGCTCTATTTTGGCTCTAGGAGCACAAATGGATCAAAAATGGAGTGTGGAGCTGTGAAATCCTCTGAAGGGAGATAGTTAAGAAAAGGATCGCTGTCTATTTATTTGAAATTCTGAGAATGCAGTTCTAATTACAAGCTCAATGGGAATGCAGAGAAGGGTACTGAGTAAGTGGAACAGATCTAGAATTAAAAACCAACAAGTATTTGAGTTCCTTTTGAGAGCGCCACTGCTTGTATGGGTTGTGGTGATATGGAAAACGAATAAGGTAGAATTTTAAGACTGCATCAGGGGTTGTCTCAGGTTCAGCTCCCTCGAGGTTCCCCACTGAGACAAGAATTAGGGTTTAAGTTGTTTATTTGGGAAGCAATTTCAGGAAATGTGAATGGGAGCGGAGAATTAAGGGCAGACCAGACAATAGAGGATGCTGTCACTGCTATGGGCCACTGGAACTCAAT